AGTTATGTAATGATATAATTTGGCAGTCATGTAATGATGACATTTGGCAGTCAGCTAATGATGGAGTCATACTTCATTCTGTGATTTGATATGTTCACTCTCCATTTTTTGCATAGGCTGAATATCACATAATGATCTGGTCTTTGGAACCTAATCATGTTGATGAGGGAGGAGTGCATATATATTTATATAGACATTTAAATCAATTAGAAATGGTGGGGAAAAAAATAAAATGATACTAAGGAAACATAGGAGTTCTGGTGGCAGAGTGCTTAAGGCATTTGACTGCTAACCAGAAGGCTGGCCATTCAAATCTACCAGCCACTCCTTGGAAGGAAAATGGGGTAATCTATTTCCGTAGTGATACTGCCTCGGAAACCCAAGGAGGGATCACTATGAGTCGAAATCTACTCTATGGCATATTACAACAACAACAATAAGGAAACATTGTAAAAGCAGGAATACAGTTTATGTAGAACTTTATGCCATAAAATCCTATTTAAAAACTAAACTCACTGCCATCGAGTCAATTCTGACTCATAGCAACCCTCATGGGGTATCCAAGTTTGTAAATCTTTATGGAAGTAGATTGCCTCATCCTCCTGCAGAGCAGCTGGTGGGTTTGAACCACTGACTTTTGGTTAGCAGCTAAATGCCTTAACCACTACACTACCAGAGCTCCTTTAAAATTCTATATGTTGTTGTTGTTGTTGTTGTTGTTATGTACCGTCGAGTCAGCCCTGACTCATAGTGACCCCTCCTTGGGTTTCCGAGGCAGTATCACTACGGAAGTAGGATTGCCCAACCTTCCTTCCGAGGAGTGGCTGGTGGGTTTGAACCGCCAGCCATCTGGTTAGCAGGCAAGTGACTTAGCCACTATGCTACCAGAGCTCCTTCCTTCTATATAGTAGGCTTAAATATAGATTATACCTTAATAAAATTGATTTTAAGCCTACTATATATTTAAGCCTCCTTCTATATAGTAGGCTTAAAATCAATTTTATTAAGGTATAATCTATATTAAATAACCTGAATTCTTTTACAAATGAGCTACACTTTTGAATTTAAGATTGTTAACAATCATGCAGAACACCTACCTCAGGGCAATGCATCCACCTACCCTAGGGAGATGCACTCCTTAGAGCAACCAGCCATGAAATATCAGAGGGACAGCATTCACATAGAGGGAAAGCTGGACAGACAGGAATGCATAGATAAGAAGGGCACAGGGAGGGGGCAGTCAAAAAGGAGAGGGGAGGAGAGGTTTTTTTTTTTTTTTTTTTTTTTTTTATGGCTGGAGATGGTAATAGGGACCATGAAATCAAATGTGCATGAACTGTTGAATGTGAAACAAATACGCTTTGTAAATTTGTATCCCAAGGACAATTAAAAAAAAACAAACAAACATGGCTTGGGTCAGGTGCACCTTAGTCGTCGAAGGACTTGTGATCTTGTATAAAAATTCGCTGGGTTCATTCATTTAAAAATAAACCATTGTTTATTAAAAGCACAGTCGAGATTGTAAACAAAGAGAAATTTCTTCAAATGGTCATTCTAGAAATGAAGCTATGTAATAAAATTGTATTAACAATCTGTGAATAACAATGCTACGGTAAACACAATAATGAGTTAGAAGTGTCTTCTGTAATATCCTTAAATATGGATAATAATTTGCTGTTATAAAAGCTGTTAAGTAAAAGTGGTTCTCCATGGGACAGGGTAGGTGGTGTGGGATTTGTGGTTAATATAATGCCATCTAAGCAGAAAGTGTTTTGGAACTTTAACTGAATCTAGGAGGAAGGTGTATGATGCACGGAAGTTCATACTTCAGATAGTCCTTCACTTGCTTTTTTTTTTTTTTTTCCTCATAAGATATAAAATGGCCTGAGAAATGATGAGTTTGGGGTTGTTTTACCAAGTAAGTGCCTAATGTGTTGCTACTATATATTACTAACAAATGATGGGTTGCATGCTTTAACAGCCAAGAGTAATGGATTTTGAGAGATACTCTGCTAAGAAAATAGAGGCCTATAATACAAATATCTACTTAAATACAAGACTCTTCCATAGTTGATCTAAACTTCACCTGAGAAATTAATTTTGGGTTTAATGTGGAATGAAGGTCACATAAAAAAGAAAAAAAAAAAACAACTCACTGTGATCAAGTTGGATCCAACTCACAGCAACCCTTCTTAGGTTTCTGAGATGGTATCACTACAGAAATAGATTGTCCAACCTTCCTTACAAGGAGTGGCTGATGGGTTTTAACCACCAGACTTCTGGTTAGCAGTCAAATGCCTTAGGCACTACACCACCAGAGCCCCTGGAGGTCCCACACTCATTCACAAAATACAGAGATTTTTAAAGAAGGTATAAACAAATACTACTCTAGCCTATTAGAAATCTCTTGGGATAGTGCCCACTGTATATGTAATAATACAGTATATTGCATTTTCTCACAAGTAGTGCTCCCATGTAAATAACACACACATACATATAATAGGGCTTAAGTGATGAAATATGTAAAAATAGTTTTGCCATAGCACTCCCATGCATACACTCTGCATGTCTCATGACATTTCCAGAAGTGAATTTTGGCCTCATTCCTCCTCATTCAGTTGTCTGAAAATTTTCCTTTTTATCATATTTGTATAATAAAGGTATAAGCTGTGGTCAAGAAGTCAGGATGGAGTTTTGCAGTACCCCCTGTAATTGAAAAGCAAACAGTTGAAACTGTGTATAATTTACTACAGGGCCTGAGAGCAATGGAGTTCCTTGTAGCTGATCTGTGCCCAAGTATGTTGCTCTGGAGACTGGCTGGGTTTGGGTGGAGGGCTGTATGTAGGGCTGTCACAGCCTATGCAGGGGCTAGTTCTGCGGTGCCCACACATGCCCAGGTTCTGTGGTGCCAGCCCCACATGAAGCGAAGAGGCAGGATAGTATTGTTGTAGGCATGTACTACCCTAGCCCCAAAGTGCCCCTAAGGGACCAGTCACGCCTATTTCATCTGATTAAGGGATGCATGAATCCTCTGTGACCAGTGCTTTCAAGCCTTCCCTTCAGAGTCTGTGTGAGCGGGAGATTCAAACTGTCCAGAGTGTGGTGGCTAGCCAGACTGATGGTGGGGCAGAATGCATGCAGCTACAGCCTCGCCTGCCCAAATGGCCTCTCCGGCCAGGGGTGCAAAGATCCATGTACTTCCTGTGCTGGAACCGCTGCTTTAGTAAAGACTGTTTCCAGAGTGAAAAAAGAGATTTCATCCTGAATTGGAGAAAACAGTTGCGGAGCAGGGAAGGAATCCTGCTGAGAGAAAGGCTGTTTAGAAACTCATGGGTAGGCTGGTGAGAGTCCCTTGCTGAGAATGCAACCTCTACATCAACAGGCACCAAGATGAAGAACTAACATTAAATCTGTTGGACGGAAAAAAAGAAGTTGTAATTGAAGTCGTCAACATGTAAAAAATACTGGTATAGTTCTCTTAAGAAGATAATGTGGAGGTGGTTGCATGGTTTGCAAACATATATAATTTGTGAATTATTTGTGTAAAAATACAGTAATATTATCTCATGGTGTTCATTCCAAAATGAACATATTATAAATTAAATCTCCACATACTTATATTCTTTATATAAATATCTAGAGATTTAATTTATAATATGTTCATTTTGGAATGAAGACATGGAGGATATCCTGAAAGCTAGTGAGGTCATAGGTGAGTACAGCAATTCCTTGATTCCTTGTCCTTTTTCTCAAGTCATGACTTTGAACAACAACAACAAAAAATAACTCACTGCCGTCAAGTTGGATCTGATCCATAGTGACCCACCCCCCTTTGGGTTTCCACGGCAGTGTCACTTCAGAAGTAGATTGCCCAATCTTCCTTCTGAGGAGGTGGGTTTGAGCAGCTAGTCTTCTGGTTAGCAGTCAAATGCCTTGGGTACTATGCTACCAGAGCTCCTATGATCTTGAACAGAGGTTAGCAAACATGTGTAAAGGGTATTGTGCGCCAAGCAATATTTGTTGCAACTAAAGTCTGTTACTTAGAACAAAAGCAGCTGTAGACAATGTGCAAATGAGTGAGTGTGGCTGTGTTCAGTGAGTCAAGGACAAATCATTAGAAGTCATAAACTGTTTTCAATTCTTCCTGAAAGATTTCTTCACAAGGTGCTACATATTAGGAAACTGATCTATAGTTAAAAAAAAAAAAATCAAAACAAAAAAACCCAAATACATGAACAAATAAAAACAATAGAAAATTAATGCATACAACATCCCAAGACACTGAAGACCAAACTGCCAAACTGACATACATTTCAGATATAATATCAAGTCACTTAATGTTTCTATATTTGTTGGCTTGGAAAAGTGTGCTATTAAAAATTAAATTATGTATAGCCCAAGCCCATAGCCATTAAGTCAATTCTGATGCATAGTGTCCCCCTTTAGGTTTCCGAGGCTATAAATCTTTATGGAAGATTGCCCAGTCTTCCTTCCAAGGAGTGGCTGGTGGGTTTGAACTGCCAACCTTCTGGTTAGCAGTCAAATGCTTTAGGCACTATGCCACCAGAGCTTCTCAATGATATATAGGTTATTTATAATTTTATATGTATATGTAGCCCATGCAGCACAGTGTTTAAAATGTTTGACTGTTAACCAATAGGTTGGCGGTTTGAAACCATCAGCTATTCCAGAGGAAGATGTGGCAGTCTGTTTACATAAAGATTTACAGCTTTGGAAGCCCTGTGGAGCAGTTCTGGGGTCACTGTGAGTTGGAATATATATATAATTATAATATATATATATAATTTTACTATGGTTGTAGAATTGAAGAGATGGACATATTAGCAGAAACTGTGAGGGCCCTAAATAAGTGCAATGTCACAATTCTGTTAGTGTTTTAATAACAAGATGCATATTTTTCTTCTGATCCAGTGGAATTTTGGCAGCATGAAAGTATCTTAAACAATGTATAACATCTTAAGGACTGAAAGGTTGCTTACCAGTTGGTGTAAGGTGTCTCCAGGTGATAACAGGTTCAGGACGGCCATTTGCCATGCAGACCAGTGTCACATTACTGCCCTCATTCACAGTGACATCCGAGGAAATGTTGGAGATCTTTGGTGGAACTGTAAAGATAATAATGCTGTATATGTAACCATATCAATAAAAGCAAGCTATCAGCACTGGCCCATGCACCTGGAAATGGCAAAATTGAGCTGAGTGGTTTTTATAGTTTATATAATCTGAATTTTTGTATTAAGAATTCAATGTGCTTTTAAGATCTATGCTTTGAATCTCCTCATCCAGTCTCTTAGGAGATCCTAAAGCACTACTATTAAGTTGGGAATACTCTCTACTATGGCCATCTGAATGCTAAAGAAAAGTACATGGAGTAGTATAATGAACATGTCTTAGCTCCTTTTTGAATAGAATGAACCTTATTTGGATATTAGAGAGCATGAATATTTATAAAAGCTAAGGATAATTTTTTCTTCAATCACCAAATGTTGTCTGAATTTATTTTCTTATGTATACAAAATGAATATAAACCAATCTCTCTTATGTATGTCAGGGGAAGAAATCAGTGTTATTTAGTATAAGATTGTCATATTGTGTTAAGATGTGGTAATCCTAAATCACTTATAATCTAATAACAAGTAAGTCATGGGTTAATCACTACAATGTTGTTGTTGTTGTTATGTGCCATCAAGTCCGACCCGACTCATAGCGACCCCTCCTTGGGTTTACGAGGCAATATCACTACGGAAGTAGATTGCCCCATCTTCCTTCCAAGGAGTGGCTGTTGGGTTTGAACCGCCAGCCTTCGGGTTAGCTGTCAAGTTCCTTAGCCACCATGCTACTAGAGCTTCCATAGAAACCTCTAAATAATATCTTGGTGTGTAACAAGCCAGATGATGCACTTTAGAGCTTAAAAAAATGAATTAATAAGGTCTAAATCACAGACAGGTGAGCAGTACAGAAATATTATTATTACTCCAAAGCCTTACTACCAGAATTACTAACAATTTAATAAAAACTAACATTAATTAAGCATGCACTAAGTGCAAGACATTGGGTAAAGTATTCCACAAGTATTATTTCAAAACAGTCCTCATACAAAGGAAATAAAATTCTATAAAATAGGTACTATTACTATTTTCTTTTCTGTGTGTGTGTGTGTGTGTGTGTGAAACTCTCTCTCAGACGGAGCAAGATGAGGCATGAAGCACAGGTTTGAATCCAGGCATACTCCAGGTCCATACTTTTAAGCACTAGTTGAATCTCCACAACTACCAGGCTACCAGATGGCAAAAACTGATGTAAATTACTTTTTGTGATGTGAGAAACAAGTACCCAAGGGCAAGCTGTGCTGCCGTCTGACTTCCTTCATAATTGCTCGGGGTGGAAACATTAGATTCCACACCAGTTGGCCTGAGTGGAAAGTGGATTACTCACAAATTTCATCACAGAAGTTATGCACTGATTACAAATAGCAGGATTTATGGCTCGACTGTGAGTTTCCTTTTGGTATTTTTATTTTTTAACTCTTAGTTGCTTATTCAATCCCTGAGAAAGTATATGTCTTGAGGAGGAATGAGAACAAAATAGCATGAAGGAGTTCCACAACAACCCCCCAAAAATAAATAAATAAAATAAACCCTTATTGCTTGGGGGAAGAGGAGACAAGATGGCATCTTTGCGGCACATTCTGCACAGTTCCTCTATAAAACACCAAGTGAAACAGATAAAGATGATAATCCTGGAACTCTGAGAATCAAATGAAAGGAAAAAGAATTCTATTAAAAACTGATTTTAAAAAGAAACAAAATGAACATTGACTGAAGAATGAGATGGAGGTGAGGCCCAATACAATGTGGCCATTTTGAGACACAGAAGGCAACATTCATCAATAAGGACAAGCCAATTTAATGGAATTCCCAATGAAACATAGAGTGAAAACAAATCCAGAAAGAAGCAAGTGAGTACCATCTACCTTCCCACTCCATGAGAAAGTGCCACCATCCACTTCTGTACCATTGGATCAACAACACTTGGCGGACAACACCTGCTCACTCTCCCCACAGCTGCTCTACATGACCAACAAACAAAGACCCACACCCACACTTCCACTTGTTACTCCACCCACATGGAGACAGGTGGGGAGCACCCCAGTGCTGCCAAACTATCAACCAAAATAGCATGCTCACCTTGCCCACCTGGATATATCAAAATAAAGCCAAATAAATATTAGGGTGAAACAAACCAACACGTAATCAACAAATAATACAATAACATTAAAATGTCTCAGAGACAAAAGACAACTTCAAATGAAACAAAGAAAACAGGACAAGAATGTTCAAGCAAGTGACCAAAATAAAAAACCAGGAAACCTCCCTGAGGAAGAAATGGTAATGGAACTACCTAAGGAATTCAAAATAATTATATGCAAGGCATTCCAAGAAATCAAGGACACTACAAACAAAACCAATGATAACACAGAAAATACCCAAGAAAAATTCAGAAAACAATTCAAGAGCAAAGTAACAAAATAAACAGACAATTAGAAACCATACAAAAACAGCAATTTGAAACCCAAAAGACTAATTTTAAAATTTCAGAGAGAGATAAAACATTGGAAGGACAAAGGAGTAAAATTGAATCAATAGAAGACCAGATTAGTGAATTATACACAAATTTGTCAAAAGAATGAAGAAAAATGAAGAGAGCCTAAGTATTATGGAAGACAATATCAACAGGAAAATTTATGTGTGATCATAATTGCAGAACAGAGGGAGGAAAACAAAACAACAACAACAAAAACACATACACACATGGAATTGAAAAGATAAATTGACAATGCTTCTATGGGGATTGATTGACAGAAAATAAGGCAAGAAAGGGGAATAAAAGGCATCCAAATTGGTAAGGAAAGAGTAAAAATATCTGTATTAGCAGAGGATATAATATTATACATAGAAAATCCCAAAGACTCAGCAAGAAAGGTAATATAACTGATAGAAAGATTCAGCAGAGTAGCATGGCATAAGATCAAAAACAAAAATCACTCAGATTCCTCTACACCAACAAAAAGAACTCTGAAAAGGAAATAAAGAAAACAATACTATTTAAAATATCTACAAAAAAAAAAAAAAAAGATAAAATATTTGGGAATAAATCTAATCTGAGATACAAAGGAGTTATACAAAGAAACTACAAAATGCTGCTGCAAGAAACCAAAGGAGACATACGTTAATGGAAGAACATACAATGCTCAGGGATAGGAAGTCTTAACATTATGAAAAGGTCAATACTACTTATAAAAATCTGTAGATACAATGCAATCTCAATCCATATTCCATCAACATTCTTAAAAAAAAAATGGCAAAAACAATCACCAAATTTACTGAAAAGGAAAGATATCCTGGATAAGCAAAGTACTACTGAAGATAAAGAATAAAGTAGAAGGCCTCACACTTCCTAATCTCAAAACCTGCCAAAGAGCCACAGTGGTCAAAACAGCCTGGTATTGGTACCACTACAGATACATAGACCAATGGCACAGAATTAAGAATCCAGAAATATATCCATCAACCTATGGAGAACTGCTCTTTGACAAAAGGCCAAAACCCATTCAATGAGGGAAAGAGACAGTCTTTTTTAACAAACGGTGTTGGTAAAATGTGATCTCCACTTATAGAAAAATGAAACAATATCTATACTTCACACCATATACAAAAACAAAAACAAGATGGAACAAGGACCTAAATGTAAAATCTAAAGCTATAAAGATTATCAAATAATAAAAAAAAATAGGGACAAACTTAGGGGCCTTAATTTATGGCATAAAGAGACTATCATACATAACCAAATATCCACAAACTGCAAAAGATAAAATAGACATTGGGACTTCTTATAAAGTAAACACTTGTGTGCATCAAAAGACTTCTCCAAAAGAGTAAAAAAGAGAGGCTATAAATTGGGAAAAAATATTTGTCAGTCACATATCTGACAAGGGAAGTATTGTTAAAGTTTATAGAAAATTTCAACAAATCAACATCAAACAGAGAAAAAAACCAATTTAAAAATGGGCAGGGGACAGGAATAGGCACTTCACCAAAGAAGATATTTAGGAGGCCAACAAACACATGAAGATATGCTCACGATCATTACAATTGTTGTTGTTGTTGTTATGTGCTGTCAAGTTGGACCCAACTCATAGCTATCCCTCCTTGGGTTTCCAAGGCAGTGTCACTACGAAAGTAGATTGTCCAACCTTTATGCAAAGCAAATCAGCAATGAGATATCATCTCATGTCAGCACTAATAGCAAAGTTCAATAAGACAGAAAACAACAAATATTGATGAGGATATGAAGAGACTGGAACTCTTATACACTGCTGGGAAGACTGTAAATGTGTACAATCACTGTGGAAAATTATATGGCACTTCCTTAAAAAGTTGCAAAGAGAAATACCGTTTGATTTAGCAATCCCACTACTAGGTATATATCCTAGGGAGATAAAAGCATGGCATGAATAGAGATATGCACGCCTATGTTCATTGCAGCATTATTCACAATAGCAAAGAGATGGAAACAACCTCAGTGCCCATCAGTAGATGAATGGATGAACAAACTATGGAACATACAAACAATGGAACTGTATACAAAATCACAGAATTAAGAAGAATCTGCAAAACATCTCATAATGTGAATGAACTTGTAAGACATTATATTGAATGAAATAAGTCAATCACAAAGGGACAAACGTTGTGTGAACCCAATATTTTAAAACGTCAAGAAGTGAGCGCCAGAACATGAATGCACACCCATGTTCATTGCAGCACTATTCACAATAGCAAAGCAATGAAAATAACCTAAGTACTCATCAATGGAGGATGGATAACCTATCTATGGTACATACCCACAATGGAATACTATGCAACACTAAAGAATAATATAGAATCATTGACACACGTCATAATGTGGATGAACTTGGAGGACATTATGCTGAGTGAAATAAGTCAATCACAGAAGGACAAATTTGTATTAGTCCACTATCGTAAAAAGTCAACAAAAGGTTTACATATGGCAGGAAACTTTCTTTGTTGGTTATCAGGGTTGAAAA